AATGGCTTCTTTTACTCACCGTGACAGTTGTGGATGAGCACAATAATGATGATTTATTGAAATTGTGATAGATTTATATATCAAAAGTTTATCTTGTTAGACAAATCAGTTAATAGAGAGCCAGATAAGATTTGATGTTGGAAAAATGTAGATTTCTTGATAAATAATGAACAAGCCTAATGAAATATCATATTGTTTATTTTCCTACATGTCTTCTATTTAAAAAAAACAAGATATTTCATTAAGTTTTATTTACAGAAAATATTAAAGCAATTTTATTAATAATTTCCACATGTATAAATTGAATGTATTTTATTTTTTTAATGTACCTTTACATACGTCTACTTTTATGAAAAAATTTATTACTTAGTTTAATATTATTTTTTTATTTGATTTTGCTAAATTATAAATTTTATTTAAAAAAAAACACCGTTGTTATTTAAAAAAATAAGGTCAATATCCGTTATCAAAACTTCTCTATTTTATTATTTTAGTAATTAATGTTTTCTACAATTAATGTTTTTATATATGTAATATTAAATATTTTTTCCAATATAGAATTCTATATCTTTTATTAACACAAAGAATTGTAGTATTATAAACAAGGTATGCTATGTTTTTAATATTTTTATTATAAGTCAAACTAATATTTTTGATAGGATTATACTTTGTTCTCGTTATTTTTAATGATTGCCATGTTACTATATATAAATTTACAAATTAATAAAATTCCAAGAAATAAATTGTTTTTATATATTACTTTGAACAATTCTTATTTAGCAAAAAATAAAAAAGTTCTTATCAATAATAATGGCTTTTAGTAGAATTGTTTGAAGTATATGTTCCGATAAATTGATGTGAATCACAGCTTGATTAATATCAACAGTTCCGGAAAGAAGATTTGATTATGAATACCTCTTAATAAATTATATGATGAAAATAAAAAATATATAAGTAAAATGAAAAATATATTGTAGTAAATAAACGTATCTGTATCTAAACCACAAATTATGTCTCTTTTATAAAGAAAAAAGACATAATCTGTGATTTAAATACAGATTAGCGAATTCAATTTATAACAATTTGTCAACTATCATGTAATAAGATAATATACAAATTAAAGAGATAACACAACTTATTATTAAAAATTGCAATATCATAAAAGATAGGTAATTATGAATAATGAAGAAAAAATTATAAAACGATATAAATACAACTGTTATAACTAAATTATCTTTTAAACAAAATCAATTATTTATATAAAAATATGCAAATCATATACTATTAAATTTAATAAATTAAATAAAGGCAAATATAAATTGTTTAAATGTTTATTATAATATATAATAAGAAATAAAGAATTCTGTTATATTCTTATATAGAATAAGGTATAAAATAGATTATATAAGTTTATATTTATTACGGGTAAAAAGCTTATCAAATTATTCTTAGATTTTCGCATGTATCAATATCTCAATCTGAAATCGCAGGCTCTTATCTAATTTTTTAATCCTTGTTACAGATTAATTTAGTATATAAATATTCGATTGTTATTCACAATTATCAATACGTATCCACACTTGCCACGGTAAGTAAAATTTTTTTGCTTATATTATTGAAATCTTTAAAAAAATGTATTATAAAATTATTACTTCTTTTATTTTACATATTTGCTAATTATTTATAATTTAATATAAAATCAGTATTTTTTTGTTGTTAAAATTTTTTAAGTACATAAATTCTTTTTTTTTTAATATAAATAATTAACATATAATTATATATTTTTGTATTTTCAATTTTAGTTTAATGTTTCTCTTGTATATCTTTTTACATATTTTTTTACATATTGTAACATTTAAATTAATAATCTACTTTAAATAAAGTTAATTTAAAACAAGAAAAAGAAGAAACGTGTATATTTTTTCATATTATATATTTTTACTATAAAATTTTATTTAGAAATATTTTATTTAAAAAATTTTTCGGAATCGAAATTTTCTTACTTTACTTATCTATATATAAAATAATCTTTTATGTAACATTAAGCAATCTTAACATAATAATAACTATTATTTTCATTATTTATCTTATACTAATATACAATTGTAAATCCTTTATACATATAAATAAATTATAATAAAAACACTGATACATTTCTCAAATATAATATTCTTTGGATTACAGCACATTAATATATGTTAAGGAGCATATTGTAATACATGCAATTTTAATTTACAGATGAAGTTCCTATTAGGACTGTTTGCCGTTTTGGCCATTATTGGCTTGGGACAAGCTCATCAGTTTCCGGACTTCGGCGAAGGTCCTCTTCATGAGGATTTTCAAGATCTTCTAGATTTAGTTCCTGTAGAAAAAATTATCGATGTCGTTGTGGATTATATAATGCACGATGATGAGCTATTAGAACTTTTCCAAGATCTGCAAGATAATCCAAATATAATCGAAGATCTACTGGTGGATGTACAAGCCATTCCCGAATTGATCAAACTTTTGAACTATTTACAAAAGGAAGGCATTCATATTTATCCCCCAAAGATTTTGATAAATAGAATCCATAATATCAAGGAACAAGTATCTAGCTCTTATGATTCTCCTGCAAACAAAAGGACCGGTGGACTCGCTGGATTCTTCAAAGACATCAACAAACACATCGATTACGAAGCCTTCCTCAGCGTATATGTGGATAAACTAAAAACCTCTACAGCTTTCGTTAAGTTCATCAACCAGCTTAAGTCCGACAATTTCCAACAGCTCATTAACAAAATTTGCAAAATTAAATCTGTTGAATATATCCTAAAGCGTCTCGACGCCAGATTCGTGAATTTGAAATTTGCATCAGATGTAATGTATCTTTTATTTGGAATCAATATACCAAGCCTTCCATCTAAAACGTTAATGGAAGAGTTTCTAGATTTTGCCTTACTTATTCCAGTGGAGAAATATCTCGATATAGTAATCAAATATATAAATGAAGACGAAAAAGTACAGAATGCTCTGTTATTTATGTTCACAGACGAATTTCACAAAATGCTGCGTTCCTTCGAAGCTCTTAAGGAACATCAAGCATTAGTAATATATTTGGAAAAGATTGGAATTCCTGTTATTGAATATATCCAGTATTGGCATCATGCCATCGGCATGGAAGGATATGTGCCACCTAAAATAGATCTTAGACTTTATATTAAGACTCAAAAAGTTGGTGATGGAATGATTGAAATGATCAAAGATCTTTATAACGTATTACCATTGGACAAGATTGATGATCTTTATAAAGAGAAGATGAAAATTTCCAGAACTTTTGTTACTTTTATCACAAAGATTACGTCTAAAGAAATGATAAAAATTCTCAATGATCTAATTGCTCATACAACCTACAAGGAATTCATCACAAAAAGCAAAGCAAAAGGATTATATCTTGAAGAACTTGGAGCTATTAGCGTAAGAATGATTGGCCTTAAATCTAAATACTAAAATCGATATTTGTATAATAAATATCGATATTTGTATAATTTTTTCAATATGTTATTAACTTGCAATTTTATTAGACATAAACAGATTATGCTGATGTAACAGTAAAAAATTATTAATTAAATAATTATTTTTTCTTAATTAATAATAAGTTATTTTATAAATAAATTATAATAATGTAATATTTTTATTTCTTTCCCTTCCATATATACTTCTAAATAATGAAATAAATAACGAAACAAGAATTTTTTATATTTTATTAACTTAACATCTTTAATCATATTTGTCTTTAATAATTTTTTAATTAATATATATGTATATGTGATATGTTATATTATCTATACAAATCGTACATGTTAATTATTAATTTATTTAATAAGACAAAAAATTTATATATCTTATATGTATGTATGTATATTTACAAATAGATTTTCTAAATCAAAATTACTTCACAAAATTACTTGTATAGAAACGTTTATACATGAATAATGTTTTAACTTTTTAAAAAAGCAGATGGCAAATAATTTTTATTGTTAATTTAGTTCTTGCGCTTTTTAATATAATCAAATCAAAACATGAAACTAATA